TCACTAGTCGGCGGCCTATGCTCCATTAGGGATAACGGCGTAAGTAAGTTTCATTGTATGACATAACATACAAGTTGATGGTGAACAGAATAGCATCCATGTGTATGATATAGCGCTACATGTACGAATCAGAAAGAACTCTTCGATCGAATCTTAGAGAATTTGAAAAATATCATTGAACTAAAAGACTTTTTTACGCATGCACGTAAACACCTCTGTTAATTTGCTTGAACTATTACGAGTTTACCTTAGTCGGGAAACGAGAGCGAGGATCGAGGATCCGGCGACACGATAGGCTACTCTAATCCATACTTACTTACTTTCGCCTGTTACCCCCAATAAAGCATAGGCCACCCACCAGTTTTCGACAACCAACTCTGTCATGGGCTTCCCTATCCAGTTCTGTCCAATGTTTGTTCATTCCTCTCATATCTTTCTCTATTTCTCGGCGTAGTGTGTTCTTTGGCCTTCCTCTTTTCCTTTTGCCTTGAGGGTTCCATGTGAGGGCTTGTCTTGTGACGCAGTTGAGTGCTTTTCGTAGTGTGTGTCCTATCCACTTCCACCGCTTCTTCCTGATTTCTTCCTCCACTCGAATCTGGTTTGTTCTCTCCCACAGTAGGTTGTCGCTAATGGTGTCTGGCCAACGAATACGAAGTATTTTGCGTAAACAGCTGTTAATAAACACTTGTATCTTCTGGATTATGGCTTTGGTAGTTCTCCAGGTTCCCGCACCATACAGTAGAACTATCTTGATATTTGTATTGAAAATCCTGATTTTGGTTTTGGTTGGTTGGTTGTTTGGTGTTCCAGATATTTTTCAATCGTAGAAATGCAGCCCTTGCTTTGCCAATCCACGTCCTCACATCTGCATCGGATCCACCTTTCTCGTCGATGATGCTGCCCAGATATGTAAAGGTGTTAACGTCCTCCAAGGAATCTCCATCAAGAGTGATTTGGTCCGATTGTCCCAAATCCCCATTGAGTAAAAGAAGAAGACCTTATATGAAGTAGAATATGTCATCTACACGCATTCACAAAGTACGAGGTCCAAGTCCAGAAGAGAATCAGGATCACAGACTAGGGATCCAGGTCTGGGTCATAAAACGTTACAGATAATGCATATTTATACATTTAGGTCAAATAAGAAACAACATGGAAGTCTGTGACATTGACAGTTAGGACGACCAATAGGCGACAACATTGAAGTACGTGACATTGATATCTAGGACGACCATAATAATATTGACCAGTAGGTAATGAATTGACCAATGGAATTAGACTTACAAAAAATTAATTCTCTTAGGATATTTGATGATGAATATCCTAACACTTTTAAACAACTTGAAAAACTTCCAATATCCGAGACAACAAAAAACAAAGCACCAAAACTTGTAAACACCAAGAGATTTGTATAAACACACTTAGACAGATTGGATTTCTTTAAATGGCATATTTCCCTATAATAATATGTATATATATATTTTTTTCTCTCTTTTTTTGAGATACATTGCAAATTATACACTGAATAGAAAAAATTATTCTTAATGAATAAAATACACTTTAAATGTTTGTAATTAATGTTGTTGGAGAATACAATCTTTTGTGAAATGTAGTAGACAGTGAGTGAAAGGAGTAGACAGTAAGTGAGTGAGTGAGTGAGTGAGTGAATGAGTAGAAGAAATTACATGAAGCGGAGAAAAATAACAGAACAACAACAAGAAGAAGAAATAAGTTCACTTTGATGATATATGATGATGGCGTTAAAACTTTTAAATTTAGGTTGAAAATAAATTTTTCCTATAGAAATAGATTCAGTTTTGTAAGCTCAAAAAATACATGAATCAGTGGAAATGTGAAATTTTCCCCCATACTGATCAAAGAATTCTCAGGAGTACTACTTTTTTTTTCAAAATAAAAAAAAACGAAGAGAAGATGGTTATTTTAACGATTGTTATCATATTTTAGAAAAGTTGAAGTAAAATAAATCGTTTCAAATTATACAACCAGTTTTCAGTGACAACGTGTACATACCACCTACATCAGTTCAAGTTGCCATACTACAGTGGCATAAAGAGATGGAATTGTAGATTCAAAATCTCATACTGGTAGAGATATTAGAAGTGTGGTGCGAGCTACTTATAAGTAGTAGTATATGACGTGAGTGTCAACGTAATGTCTGACAGCAGAAGATGGGGGAAGATCAATCGAATTTGTATGAAACGCATGAATAGTGAGTGACAATGGATTGATGTTTTGCAACAGGAACAGTCCAGTTCGATATGATGATGAACTGATATTTTGCAAATGAACGATTTACGATATGGTTTTCCAATTTTACTGAGTAACTCTGTAATTTTCGCTAAACACCTGTGTTCTCCTTCACTACAGTATGATCATTAATCGGAAGAAATTACTGAAAAAATAATTTAAGAAGTGTATATTGTAGTGAAATAAATTTGAGGATAAAAAGATAAAGGTCATGAGGAATTCAGAAGATTAAGATTAGAACGAAAACAAACTGTGGATACACTTGCGACATTACAAACGATTTTGAGCTATATGATTCAAAGTCGCTAACACCATCGGTTACTATTGTTTCATGGATCCCACCAATCAGACAGACCGTCTACAACTGCCAACATAACTCAGTCAATGATTTGTCGATGACTTCATGGATTTGTGCCGTGTTTTTGGTCTTTCCGCCAACAGCTTTCTTCCAGTCTAACCCTACATCACAATACATAGCTCAACGAGTCAGTCGGTTGTTGGGTATGTGTAACATAATGTGCAAACCACATCAGTTGATGACGACGGTTCAGTACTAACACTTGATTTTGGGATTGTTTGTGTTAATTTTAGGGTGCAGTGTTTCATCATAAGAAGTAGGCCAGGAAAGAAATAGAGGTGCCACAAAGACCTTATCAACAAAAAAGATTTTGATTGTTAGCTCAAATTCCTATAGATACTGTTATGTATTAAAGACAAGAATGAACGCACAAGGAAAGCAAGTATAGATATACGATAAATTACTTGGAATTATTGATTTCTACCTAATAAAATATGACCGCTATCAATCACGTATAATGAAAAACTGAGCTGTGTATTGTTTTCAGTAAGGTCTTTTCTAATCACAAAGAGAGGTGTTTGCTAGTTAACTTGTTGATTCTTTCAAGCTTATCATTCGTTATTTCCGTTTAGTATGAGACCCATCAAAAGTGCTTGTCCACTCTTCGGTAGGCAGGAACTGAACTCAAAACTTTTCGTCTCGTCTTTCTGATACTTCATCTCATCATCCTTACTCCAACATTGATTACCACATGATTTCAATAAAATCGAAAATATTCTTACAACCTGCATACTGAAACTTGTCATATGCTCATTAATGACTAGCTTTGTGAAGAAATTCCTAGGAGTTCTAGTGAGAAACCATGACTAGTGAAGTTCAATCCATGTCGCATATGAGGCAGCTACCAACTGCAGACAATGAATTCTAGTTATGGAATCGGGTGAACTGATTGAAATTAGAAAATAACACCGTCTGATACCGACCCAGCGTTCAACAGGTTAAAAGTGTTCTTTCACAAAATCGGAGATTTTGGATTCGATTACCATGTTAAGCGGTCATGGATGCGCACTATTGATGAGTCCCATCCTAGGACAAAATGATAGTCCAGTAGTTCAGCGGGGAAATCTGTGGTGAGTCATTCAATGTCTAACTCACATGACTTGTCCCACTAGTCTTTTGACCTTTTCAATCATTCGTCGCTTTCATTCATATGTATGCATGCCTATCTCGTCGCTTGGTACATGTCTGTCTTATCTTTGTCTGACTATAAATTCTTGGTCATGCTTTAACTGTCGGAATTAGTTCACTAGTCTTCTCCACTTCACTTCATCCATTCATTCGTTAATTCGCTTGCTTGCTTTCTGGCGCTCGTATGACGATTTAATCTTTGAGTGCTTGTAGTTTACTGATCTAGTTGTGTTCTGCCAAAATAAACCTATTCAACACTTCAAGTTCGTCTTCTGATTGATAGATAGTCAGACGCTATTTAGTAACGACTGAGCTAATTACGAAGCTTAAGAACATGTTGGATACCAACCGTCACGAAACTAATGATACCATCCTTGCTCACCACAAACTTTTACATTTAATGAAGTTTGAACAATAATACTTATCATCAATAGCGTGATATAATGCTCAATACATGAATCAGACAGATATATATCAGTCAGTCAGTCAGTCGGTCAGATGCAACGTAGAACTTCGTACGTAAGTACATCAGTTCATAACACATCAGCACAGAGACGCAATCGTCAATTCAAATCCAATAGTAGAAGAGGTAGTAAAGGTATTAGGAGTAATCGGAGAGGTTAGGATTAGAGGATATTATTCAAGAAGTATGATTCAGTGAGAAAAGTTTAGAAAGTCAAAACTAGAGGAATCGAAGAATCCAGAAGATTAGGATTTGAGAGAACACAAAGAATAAATGCACCGGCACCATTGCGAATGATTTTAAGCCATGTCATTCAGGGTATCTAACCATCGATTATTATCATCTCGCGGACCCCAACCCGGTAGTCGACAATTACCGACATGGCTAAGTCCACTTGTCAGTGACTTCCTAGATTGCTGCCATGTTTTGATTTGGCCGCCCCTAACTTTCTTCCAACCTATTCCTTCACTACAAAACAAAGCTCTTCGAGGCAGTTGGTGGTTGGACATACGCAACACATGTCCCAACCACCTCAACTGATGAAGTGTCACTACTGCGTCTATTGATCTGCCATTCTTACCTAATAACAGTGTTGCTCACTCGGGTGTCCCAGGATATATGAGCAATGCTTCGAAGACATCTATGATCGAAAACCAGTAACCTACGAATATCTTCTACTCTCACTGGCAGACAGATATATATATATATATATATATATATATATATATATATCAGTAAAAACAATAGAATTGAGCACAGAAAAACAAAACAAAACACACTAACCTGTTGAGAATCATTAAGTTTATCATTGAGAATCTTATCTACTACATCTTTTGTAGCAGTATCCTCTATACTTGTATTGATCAATGTACAATTATGTTTCAATTGTTTAGTTGCATCAATCATCAATTGACATTGTTTATCTGTTTTTGAAAAAATCAATATAATCTGAAAAGAAATGAAAATGTATATACACATTATTAAATATTCATTAAGAAAAAATAAATTAATGATCATCATGACAAGAAAAAAAAGAGACAAAAATAAAACAAACACTTTCATAATTAAAACAAAATTCAAGTGTTCAATGATAAAAATTCTCTTTATGGCTCTGTTTGTTTTTGTTTTAAAAAAGAGAAAGCAACTAACTCTAAATAAAAGTTTTACTTGAAAATGTGTTTTTTTTTAGAAATACGTGCTCACATAAAGAACATAAACTTTTATGTGGTTTTTATTATATATTTCAAAGATATCAGCAGCAAATGTGTGTTATTTTGAAGAAAAAGGGGAAATACTGCTTAATCTATCTATCTATCTATCTCTCGGACAATCTGGACTTCGCAGATGATCTGGCTCTCTTCTATCGTACACGCACGCAACAACAAATGCAAGAGAAGATAACCAGTGTAGTAACAGGTCTCAACATACGTAAACTGAAAAGTAAAATTCATCGATACAACACAACATGCACCGACCAAATCACACTTGATAGAGATGCCTTGGAGGACGTTAACACCTTTACATATCTGGGCAGCATCATCGACGAGAAAGGTGGATCCGATGCAGATGTGAGGACGAGGATTGGCAAAGCAAGGGCTGCATTTCTACCATTGAAGAACATCTGGAACTCCAAACAACTATCAATCAAGACCAAAATCACGATTTTCAATACAATCGTCAAGACAGTTCAACTGTATGGCGCTGAAACTTGGAGAACTACCAAAGTCATTATCCATAAGATACAAGTATTCATCAACAGTTGTCTACGTAAAATATTTTGGGACCAGCTGGTGAGACACTATCATCAACAACCTACTGCTGGTGGGGAGAACAAACCAGATTCCAGTGGATGAAGAAATTACAAAGAGGCTCTAGAAGTGGATAGGATGCACATTGTGTAACTCACCCAAATGCATCACAAGGCAAGCCATCACATGAAATCTTCAAGGAAAATGGGAAAGAGGAAGACTAAGAAAATTGTCACGCTGAGATTTGGAGAGAAGCATGAGAAGAATGAACAACATTTAGACCGAACTAGAAATGAAGGTCTATGACAGAGTAGTTTGGAGAACTCTGGTCAGCAGCTTACGCTCCATTGCAGGTATCAGGCGTAAATAAGTAAAAGTAAGTCGATTTACTCTAACCCATATTCAAAAGTATTTTTGATGATAAACACTGACCATTTGGATTGCAATTATGCAAGACATGAAACAGATAGCATTGAATACCAAAGAATAACCTTTGAACAAAATTGAAAGTTATTCTGAAGTTAATATCACATGAATCAATAAACAACAAACCCTGATGAGGTCGTGTTTATACATAAAAATGGGGCCTCATATCACGAAGGGACATGTTTGTTTAGCCAATTACAATTCATGAAGTGAACTACACTATGAATACTCTACTCTCTACTAACCGTCCTTAGCTCTACTACGATTACTACCACGACTACTACTACTGTGGTGCGCGCTACTTATAAATAGTATATGACGCGAGTGTAAACGTAGTATAATTCATACACAAACTAAGTACACGTATTCTTTAAACATCTGTTGGCATTACAAACAGATTTCCCGACTGTCTCCTATAAAATCTCTTCTGTTCTTTAAAACACTTTGACCACTCCATACATTTTAACGTGACATTCTTTTCTATGGTTTTAAATTCTGGGTGATACTCCTCTACATGTTACTTATAAGCTGCACTGCCATTCATATCACATCACACAATAGATATGATGAGTAAATATCGCATGACATCAAATACTCCGCCTGGAACCCTTCTGCGGTTACTACTGGCCCCATGCACGGAGAAAGGAGTAAGATTCGGAACTGGTTCACTGACTTCATCCAGTAGAAGTGCAACTCTCTAAATAATACACTAACTAACCAGGAAAAATAATTCGCTGATCAAGTGGGCCTATGCTTCATTAGGGGTAACAGGTGAAAAATGGTCAGTCAGTCAGTCAGTCAGATGCAACGTACAACTTCGTACGTAAGCACATCAGTTCATGTCGCCATACAACATCAGCACTGAGATGTAATTGTCAATTCAAATCCAATAGTAGAAGAGGTAGTAAAGGTATTAGAAGTAATCGGCGAGGTTAGGATTAGAAGATATTATTCAAGAAATATGATTCAGTGAGATAAGTTTAGAAAGTCAAAACTAGAGGAGTTGACGAATCCAGAAGATTAGGATTTGAGAGAACACAGAAAATAAATGCACCGTAGCCATTGCAAACGATTTTGAGCCATGTCATTCAAGGTCTCTAACCACCGATTATTGTCATCTCGCGGAACCCAACCAGGTAGTTGACAATTACCGACATGACTCAGTCCACTTGTCAGTGACTTCATGGAAAATGGAAAGTAATATCTATACATATAAAATATATGTACTCTATTCATTCCAGTTTTTGAAAACAATCATTAAAGACGATCTAGTATATAAAATGAATAGCCTAAATTTGTAAAAAAAATACACATAAAACTATTTAATACTCACTATCAGTGTATCAGTCTTTTTAGGTGTTTGTTATTCTTTTAAAAGATACAAGTTTTATTTATCACCATGAATCGATCAATGTTAGACCACCATTAGAAACCTGGAAGCACTGGACGATGGCCGTTTCGTCCTGGTATGGGACTACTCATCAGTGGCAGTGCGCATCCACGACTCCTGCACCCCGCAGGATTCGAACCGAAGGACCTTCGGTATTGTGCGTCCCATACCCCGCAAGGCAAAAGATACAAGGTTAAATAGTGAAGCCTTTTTGAGATTGCATTCAATGATCAATGATTTCAACTGATAAAACGCATTTTTTTTTGTTAAACAAGATTCCTTATTCACAAAAAATCATTCTAACTTAATAACTCTTAGTTTTATTGAACATGAAAAACACCTGAGAGTACATGTTGTTTGAATATATATAGATATACATATATAAATATGTACATAATCAATAGTTAGGACAAGTAACTAGTAAATTAACGTTCAATATTTCCCTAGTGGTAAACAAACGAATAGTTGATTTTATTTTTTTTTACAATGGTTATATTTGTGTGTGTGTGTGTTATTCATCTCTCTCTCTCTCTCTCAATGCACATCCTCTAATTGAAAGATGGCATAGACATGTATAGATAGACGACAATAGAAAAATCCTACTTATTTATTAACTTCCTACAAAACTATTTACTGATGTTGAATAATTTCTCAGCCTATCATTATCAGATGAAATAAGGAAGGATAATAAAAATAGAGGCAGGATATTGATCCCACAGGAAGTGTATATGTATATATGTATATATAAAATGTACTAAGCTGATTATCTAACATCACAAGTCATAATGACATGATAAAAGACAAGTTTTTGTTCAATGAAAATAGGAATGTATACCTGTTTTTTTAGCTGTAGTAGTAATTGACGCTTTGACAAACTCATCAATGTCATCAATGTTTGCTTATTGTTTAAAAGAAATAGTATACAATTTGTCAAAATTAATTTTGAGACATTTTCATGTCTCCAAAACATTATTCCTCTACTATTATTATCATCATCATTGTTATCAGAAAGACTCTTGAAACACAAAATCAATACATTGCCTTCTCGCTCTCTCTCTCTCTCCTAAATATGGATTGATCTTGAATGTCAAGTATGTGTTTTAGTTTACGATTATTCTATTGTCGTGTAGCAGCAGCCTCTGCAGCAGTAGTAGGTCTCAACATACATACATAAAGGAAAAAGCGAAATTCTCCGATGCAACACAACATGCACCAACCAAATCACTCTTGATGGAGATGCCTTGGAGGACATTAACACCTTTACATATCTGGACAGTATCATTGACGAGAAAGGTGGATCCGATGCAGATGTGATGGCACGGATTGGCAAAGCAAGGGCTGCATTTCTACAATTGAAAAATATCTGGAACTCCAAACAAGTATCAATCAACACCAAAATAAGGATTTTCAATACAAATGTCAAGACAGTTCTACTGTATGCAGCGGAAACTTGAAGAACTACCAAAGCCATCATCATCCACAAGATACAAGTGTTTATTAACAGCTGTCTACGCAAAATACTTCAGATTCGTTGGCCAGACACCATCAGCAACAACGAACTGTGGGAGAAAACAAACCAGATTACAGTGGAGGAGGAAATGAGGAAAAATCGGTGGAAGTGGATAGGACACACACTATGAAAAGCACTCAACTGCGTCACAAGACAAGCCCTCACATGGAACCCTCAAGGTGAAAGGAAAAGAGGAAGGCCAAAGAACACACTACGCCGAGAAATAGAGAATGATATGAGAGGAATGAACAAACATTGGACAGAACTGGAGAAGGAAGCCCATGACAGAGTTTGTTGGAGAAAACTGGTGGGTGGCCTATGCTTTATTGGGGGTAACAGGCGAAAGTAAGTAAGTAATATTCTGTTGTCATTCAAAATTTATTCAGTCGACTGAATCAGTAGAAAGGCCTCAAATAATTGTGCGGTTGTTTAGATAGATAAAGGCACACAATCACTTCAATGTCAAAATTAAATTGTGAAGTGTCCGAAGATGAGTGGGATCTACAACCTCCAAGAGCCCAAGCACTTCTCGTTTATTCGGGCTTAGGACTGGCAGCAGCAGACCAAGAGGGGTTCCAGGCGGAGTTGTAAATATCATTCAGTCTCACTGTCGAAGTTCAGAGAGAAATAAAAGTAAAGATGTTGAAAGTTATCCACTGCCTATAATAACAAACAATTCACCGTTTCAGTCAGTCAGTTACAAGGTACAACTTCGTACGTACGCACATCAGTTCAAGTTGCCATACCACACGATAGTAGAGAGATGGAATTGTCAATTCAAATCCCATAGCAGTCGAGAAAGTAGAAGTATCAGCGGTAATGCAGAAGAATAGGGGTCGAAGAAATTACTCAAAAATTCTATCCCAGTAAAAAG